ATGATGATGATGATGATGATGATGATGATGATGATGATGATGATGATGCTGATGATGATGATGATGATGATGATGATGATGATGATGATGGTGATGATGATCATGAGGAGGACGAGGAGGGACCAGACGATGATGGAGCAGACGTGGAGTTTCCGATTGAAAGCTTTCTTGTCTAGTCCAGTTCCTTTCTGTGTCCCGGGTCTTCAGCCAATAGGCTCCTTGGGAGACTGGGATTCCGTCTCCCGTCCCCTTCCCTACCCTTTGCCATCCCTTCTTCTTTCCTGCGTCGCCCTTCCACTGGGCCGCCAGGTTCGCATCAGCACCTCACCCCTTGCCCTTCCCAGAAAAGGTCCAATCCCTTGCAGGCAGGAGTACTGGCTTGCACGACTGACCACGTCCGCCCTCGTTGCCTCCTCTGGCTTCTCCGTGACACCAGGACCAGGCACTGCTTTTGCATGCTCGAGCGGTGCTCCTCTTCCTTTCTCCTTCTGATCGTCTTTGCGCGTGCTGCTTTAAGTAAAACCTCGTCCGACTTACCACTTCTTCCACTCATTGGCCTCCATCCTAACTCAGCTCAGCATTCCGACATCCAGCATCCAGCATCCGACTATCCATTTCCACCCCAATCCGTCGACCGTCGACAACGACACCCACCCTCCACCAACCCGGCACTCCGACTCCAGCATCTGGCTTCCGACTCCCCACCTCCACCTCACCTATCGACCTCCAGCATCAAGGACACCTTGCACTGAGGGCTCCGGCCCACCCGCGCAGGCCCCAAAGGGCCCCGCCCTCGGCGGATCAGCGCGCTCTCCCCTCGCCCCTCGCCCACCCATGGGAGTTTCGGGGGCCATCTTGGGCCATCTTGGCAGTGATCGATCAAAGGGTGGGGGCTCCTTACCTAGGGCCCCCCCCCAGGAGGCCACCATGTGGCCAATACCTTAGTCAAAGCAATGCTTGTGGCTTTCTCGCCGAGGCCTCTTGCGGCGTCTTGGGTGTCTCTGGGGGGCCTCTTGGGGCCTCTTGGGGGTCTCTGAGGCTCTTGGAGGCATCTCGGGGGCCTCTCGGGGGCCTCTTGGGGCTTCATGGACACCTCTTGGGGCCCTCCTGGTGCACCTTTGGGGGCCTCAGGGGCCATCTTGGGGCCGTGTTGGAGGAGACGATCAGAGGAAGGGGGGCTCCTGAATCAGCCCCCTCAGGAGGCCAAATTGTGGCCAACGCCTCAGTACAAACAATGCTTTTTGCTTTCTCGCCGACGCATGTTGGGGCGTCTTGGGTGCCTCTGGGGTGCCTTCGAGGCCTCAAGGGGGTCTCTTGGGAGCCTCTTTGGGGCGTCTTGGGGGCCTCTCGGGGGCCTCGAGGGGCCTCTTGTCTTGGGCCCCTCTAGGGGCACCTTGGGAGCCTCTGGGGTCATCTGGGGGCCATCCTGGAGGAGATCGATCGAAGCATGGGCCGCACTACATTAGCACTCCCCCCCCAGAAGGCCAACATGTCTTTGAAACAACACAATGATTGTGGCTTCCTCGCCGATACTATCTTGAACGCCCCATCGTTTCGCAAAAAGCCCTATCCAGACCCAGTGGGAGGGGTTTAGGGGGAGAGGTCAAGACACCCCCTAAATAGCAAGCCGTTTCGCTCACTCCCACCCGCCCTCCCAACACATAAGGTACACCCGAGCCCGAGCCTGTTCAGTGGTCGTTTTTGGATGGGCAGCTTCTGGGAACCAACAACGACCCCATGTGCGCGACGCTAGGGTGAGGTGCGCCACGCGTGCCAGGCGCGCCACGCGCGCCAGGCACCCCTGGGGCCCGAGCGTGCCAGGCACGCCTGGTGCGCCAGGTGTGCCGCATGCTCTAGCCGCGCCAGGTGCGCCACGTTCGGGGCACGTGCAGTGTGTGTCATATGCACCTGTGCACGTGACAGCACACATCGGGAAACATGTCGGCCCCCACCATCCTTGTCGAAAGCAAATGCCCATCATTGTGTCTTGTGGGCCTGCGCACAGCAGGCCATACGCCACCACCCCCGCCGTCCCTGTCAAACATCACTCGACAGTGATCGCGGGGTGGCCGCGCATGATCCAGATTTCGCCGCGAGGTGCATGGCGTATTGTTTAGTATTAGGGATGATAGCCCTGCGCACAGCAGGCAATCTGCTGACGCCCCCGCCGTCCCTGTCAAAACAATACGAGGTGCTCGCGGTCCTCAAGAACTGACTCAAGACTTTGCCCCAAAGTGTGCCTTGTATTGTTTTTTGGCACAGGGATGGTGGGGGGGGGCCGCATCGGGTTGGCCGCGCATGCTCCAAATGTGGAGACAGAGTGCGTTTTGTATTGCTTTTTGACGGGGATGGTGTGGGGGGGTGAGCATGGTTCCTGGTTGGCTGCCGGTCGCCTGGGGGAGGGTGTGTCTGTTCATAGGGAACAGTGATAAACCTCTCCCGAAGGGGAAGAACGAGGGTCGGCAGAAGACAATCGCAAAATCATCCACGCCCTCGAGGGCGGACGGGATTCCCAGTGCGCTCCCAGCGCCCCGAAGGCAATCCGAAGTCCGCGGGGCTCAGGCTCTGGGGGCCTCCCGCCTGGGCCCCCCTGCGGCCGACGCCCCAGCGCAGGAGGACCTGACCTGCGGACACCCGCGCCCTCCAGTGGGGCCGCGCGCTGGCTGCCCACCCCCATCCTTCACCTCTCCTCCTCCTCCTCCTCCTCCTCCTCCTCCTCCTCCTCCTCCTCCTCCTCCTCCTCCTGCCCCCCCTCCTCTCGATCCTCCTCCTCCTGCCCTCTCCTCCTCCTCCTCCTCGATCCTTCTCCTCTGCCCTCTCCTGCTCCTCCCTCCTCTCCTGCTCTCCTCCTCCTCCCTGCTCCTCCTCCTCTGCTCCCCCTCCTCTCCCCCTGATCCTCCTCCTCCTCCTCTGCTCCTCCCTCCTTCCTCCGGGCTCCTCCTCTCCTGCCTCCTCCTCCCTCCTCCTCCTCCTCCTCTCCTCGATCCTTCTCCTTGATCCTTCTCCTTCTCCTCCTCCTCCTCCTCCTCCTGCTCCTCCCAGGGGCGGGGCACGCCCCCGGGACTGCGGGGCGGAGCTCCCCGTGCGAGCCGTGCCTTGCCGCGGCGGACGGGGCGGGCCGGGCCCGCGGCCCCCGCAGGGCAAGAAGAAGCCCGGGGCTGCCAAGGCCGCCGCGCCCGCGGCCCCCGAGGCCGCGCCCGCGGCGCCCGAGGGCGGCGCGGAGGCTGGGGCCCGCGCCTCCTTCGCCCTCTCTTTCTCGGGCACGGCACCTTCTCCTCCTCCTCCGCCTCCTCCTCCTCCTCCTCCTCGTTCTCCTCCTCTTCCTCCTTCTCCTCCTCCTCCTCCTCCTCCTGCTCCCTCCTCCTCCTCCTCCTCCTGCTCTTCCACCGTTCTCCCTTCCACCTCCTCCACCTCCACCTCCTCCTCCACCTCCACCTCCCACCTCCACCTCCACCTCCTCCTCCTCCTCCTCCTCCTCCTCCTCCTCCTCCTCCTCCCTCGACCCGAAGCTCGGGGACCTGGAGGTGCCGACCGACAGACAACCTGCCGCGTGGTGGGCCATGCTCTGCGCGCGGAGACCCAGCAGTTGTGCGTGTTTGGCCTCGCAGTTTCGCTTTCTCCCCCTCCTCAGCTCCATGGGCTGTGGTGCTCATCAGTGCAGCATCCCCGTGGCAGCTGCTCGCGTAATGGGCATTTCCGATGACGGCCGGTCCGATCTTCCGCTCTTCTCCGCGGCTGCTGCTGCTGCTCCGTTGTCCGCCGCCGCCGTCCAGTGGCTGCCCCTGCCTGGCTCTCGCGGACCCCACGCCGGGGAGCTCCTGGAGTTTCCTCGACGGCTTGGGGCCCTCGTTCGGTTCTGCGGTGGCTGTTGCCACGACTCCTCGTCCTCGCCTCCTCGCCCTCGTGCCCTCGTGCCTGCCCCTTGGCGTCATCGTGGTCGTTGTCCGGGTCCCCTCCTCCACGTCCACGTCCGCATCTCGCACTTGCTCCTGCGTCGGCCTGACTCGTCCTGCAGCCTGTCCCCCTCTAGCGAAGTGCCGTGTGCATTCTATGGTGGTTTGCTGGAACTTTGTTGTGTTCGCAGTTTTTAGGCTCAAAGGGTTGCGGGCTCCAGCGAGCCCAGAGCCTTCGAGCCGAGGCACCAGCCTGCTTTCGCGCGTGCGCCCGCTGGCACAACTTCCAGGGCTAGGGCGCGCGGGTGGCTTGTCGCCGCGGCTCTCATCTTCGCTCAGGATCTGCATTACATGCTATTTGTACATGGGATCAGGGCCTACTTCTCCTCGGACTACGAGGCTGAATGCGGCAGTAAGGATGAGGTGGAGGCGGCGCGATCACCCTGTACGCACCCGCGAATTCAGCAAGTGCAGGTTCGCGGACCCTTACACACGGCCGCGCCCAATCGGCGTCCAACACCCACGAGAACCAGCACGACCTGGAAGACCACGCCACTCCAGCGATCAGCAAATTCAGCTACCTGGCGGAGCTGACCTGGGAGCAGCAGACGAAATTGTACATACTACCACCGACACCCGTAGGTACACCAGGAACCAGTTCATCATTCAACGTTGGGGCTCAGGGTAGCGGTTTCGGCGACGGTCGATGGACCGCAAAGTTTTGGTTCTGGTGGATGTGTTGCTAGGCCAGGCCTACGAGCCAGTCCAGAAACACGGACAGTGCCAAGACGAGCAGCACGACGAGCTGCCGACGCAGCGGTCGGCAACCCGACTCCCTTCGAGTGGAGTCGCTTCGACATCTGGCGCGCCATTAGGAGGAAACGGCACGAGCTCTGGCTCACGCGGTAGTCGCGGGAACAGCTTCACCCACGTTGGCGGCGTCACGTCGGTCAATTTCTGCTTATGCAGGAAGCCTTCTATGCTGCAACCACTCGAAGCAGATGAAGAGGGTGAGGTATCCAGCGTCTATGATCCATGACGCCGGTGGCGGCCCTCCTGCTGATTGAGACGTGCAGCCCAGCCGACTGCAGTGGCGTATCCGAGAATCGTATTGTAACGTGTGATTGAGGCTACTTCGAATCTCCGCGTTAGCCGCGCCTCCGGACACGCGCCGTCGAATCCAGAGAGGGACGCCATAATGTTCGCGACCAGTTGTACATGCACTCGGAGCGTGCCGGGTTTGGCCTTGACCTGGTGCGATCATCTCTGTGGACCCGGCTTGGGGCAAGGTTGCTGTCGAGTGCCGCCAATTCGAGATGCTTTGCAGATTGCCGGACGCGCGGGTCTTCAGCAGTGCAGTCTTCGACGACGTGGGCACGTGCATGGCGCGAGCAGGCCTGGCCTGGGACCGCGTGGAGGACTGCCTGGGGCATGGGGGGGCGCGAAGGGCACGCGAAGACCGAGCCGGATCGGCGACGCCTCGACCTCCTCGAGGCTCTTTGCCATTTGCCTTGCGGATGCTTTCAGCTTCCAGACGTTCGCGCAGTGCGTCTCGAGCGCAGTCGGAAGTTTGTTGGCGACTAGCCAGGCACCCGCAGTTAGGTCATCTGGTGGTTCCCTCGAGGCCCGAGCAACGTCCAACAGCTGCGGGTGGCGCCGAGTTCGACGCCCGCCAGCTCGTCGGCGAGCAGTGTAAGGGAGCTCGCATCATACATATTGTTTTTTTGGTGACGAGTCGCTGTTTGCAGCGGACGCCTGGCAGGGCCAAGACGGGGCGCTCGCTGATTGTGTGATCGACGTCCCCGAGGACGCCGCCAGCGTCGCCGAGGAGGTCTCACCGTCAGCCCGGTCGGCTATGCCAGAAGAGGCCGACGGCGACTTCTCGGGCCAGGCCCGCCAGGTGAGTTTGGCAGCTGGCAGGAAGTCGAGGGGGCACAGGGTCTGGCGCAGGAGCTGGAGAGCACCGATAGCCAGCGCGAGGTCGGTGACATCGAGCGCAATGCGGCCAATCTGGGACGCGGGTGGCCTTGGCGCCTGGAGACGCAGCGCCAGCGTCAGAGTTTACGGGCGCAATGTCGCTACTGCCTGCTCGGCGCCTCCTCGGACGACCAAGCCGCGCAAGAGGAGGATCATGGAGGGGGGCATGTGGAGGTGTGCCTGGCTGTCGCGAGGAACCGCCCGGCGACTGTCGCTTGCGCTTCCGCGACAGCCGTGCTCAAAGTCTATGCCGCCTTCGTGACCGCGGTAATCAAGCGCGACGTCGGCCTCCTAACCAAAGAGGAAGTGCCAGGGCTGTCGAAGGAAGTCTCCGCTACCATCCTCGAGGAGCTCGCCATCTGGGTCAAGTGCAAATGTTTCGGGATGCGGCCGCTGAAAGGTGCCCGAAGTGTCGCGGGCTCCAGGCGTGTTCAAGGGGGGGCGCCGGAAGGGATTGAGCGGCGGGGCCGCCAGGGCCATCCGGTGCCGCGCGGTGCTGGGAGCTTCTGCTACATGGGCCCCACATGGGCGCCGAAGGCCTGGAGTTGTTCTCCGGGGCGGCGAAGCGGGCGTCGCGGCGCGTGCTGTCCTCAGAGGCGGCGCGTCGCCGGGGCTGGGCGTGCGTCGCCGTGGACGTCGAGGCGGCGCTCCTCTGAGGCATGAACTGCGCCGAGATGCAGTGGCAGGGGGGGTCGCCCGGCGAGGTGAACATCATCCTGGTGCCTGGCAGTGCCGCCGTCCTCAGGCGGGTGCCGGGCTGCGAGTCCTTCGACGAGCGTGCCGAGTTCTTGTGCTGCATCCAGCCGGGCACGGCCGCGAGGATGCGCAGAGGGCCTTCTCCAGGAGGCTCGCCCAGGTCGCGCGCTCGCCCGAGGTCGACGCCGCTGCCGACGTGGTGGGGCCTGGGCCTCGAGGTCATGCACGAGACGTCCAGTGCCTATGGTGCCGGCGGCTCGGAGCCGTCCCTCATGCTGTTCAGGCGCGTTGGCGGTCTGGAGATCGCGGGGCGCAAGGGGCGCGTTGACCGGCTGATCGGCCACGTCGAGAGAGCCGTCGTCAAAATGAAGGTTGATTGCGACGACTTCACCAAGCGGAGAGTTCGCCAGCACCGCAGTGCCGATGGAATGGTGACGCTCGACTAGGACGAGCACGTCGACGCCCTAGTCCCCATCGGGCACGTCGATCTTGTAATGGCGAAGGTCAGCTTCCAGACATCGTTGTCTCCCTCCTCCAAGCAGCGTCGTGCGCTCTGGTCGCGCGATGCAGCTCAACTCCGGAGTTCTGGCCATGCAGGAGATGAAGGCGTGCGTCGCCATCCCCGCGATCGAGTGCGCGAACGACTTTGCGCGCGCGGCGACGGATTCTTCAAGCGAGAGGATGGGGCTGGTTGAGGCGTGATGGGGGCCATGTATACATATGTGCATGCGTGTGTGTATATATAGTTATGCATATATATATATATATATATATCTTTATTGAGCGCTCCAAGAGGAACCTCGATGGTCTGAAGAAGACCCAAGAGGCCCCCGAGACTTCCCAAGAGGCTGTTAAGAGAGCCCCGAAGATGCGAACGTCGTCTCATTCCCTCGGGAAATTGCATGGGCTTAACATATCCGCTGTTTGGGACTTCGCTGCGTCCAAGGCGGCTCGATGGGCCCCCGATGTCGCTTCAAGACGGCCCAAGAGGCCCCCCGGAGGGTTTGTAGACGGCCCGAGAGGGCCCCGAGACTGCCCGCAAGAAACCCAAGATGCCCCCAGAAGTCTCCCAAGAGAGACCCACGAAAGCCATGGGGGGCCCCCGAGAAAGCCGTTGGAGGCCCCCAAGAGTTCCCTAGATGGCTCCAGAAGACACCTGGAGGGCCCAAGCTCCCCAAGACGGCCCAAGGAGGCCCCGGGGCGGCCCGAGAGGGCCCCGGGGCGGCCCAAAAGAGCCCCCAACACGCCCAGACGTTTTTTCCTTCTGAAGTACACCGAGCTGACCCGACGATCTTGGTTCCAAGCTTGAGGCTCGAGGTTGAAGTTCTTTGATCGAGAGAGACAGGCAATGGATCTAGAGTCGAAGTCCGACGATTGAAGATCTCCTGAGTGCCTGGGGCCTTCCAGGCATTCATGAAGCTACCAAACATTGATTTGTGCGGAACTACTGCGACTTCTTCGGCGTGTCATGGGAACGCTTCTTACTTACTCAGAGGGCCCTCGCACGTGACAAATCATCATTTCCTCCCCGCACCTGCGCGCGAGCGGGCATGCGCATCGGGCGAACGCGGTGTCAGCAGGCGCGAGGGATTTCAGACAAATGAGCCGATCGCCCGCCCGGATTTCGAGGTCCCCCCGCTGAAGCAAGCGATGATTTATTGCTTTGCTGGGGGGGGGGGTCCAGAACCATGCGCGTGGCGCGAAACGCCAATGCAGTCTTGTATATATGTATGTATGCTTCTGGGCAAGTGTCGCAGCGCTGGCCAGCAGGCATGCCGCTTGCCCGACGCCGCGAGTCGATCGTGCAAGCTCGTGAGTCGATCGATGTTTGTCTCGGAGCAGCTCGCGGCCTGCTGTGCAGCTGGCGGCCTGTGCGCGCGCCTCCTGGCGCTCTGCGAGATGGTGCGCGAACCTGCCTCGGCACAGGAGATCCAGGGGCTGGGGGAGGAAGGGGGCTGCGCAGTGCCGGCCGTGCTGGTCGTCCGCGGCATGTCCGTGTTCTTGGCCTTGGCCATCGCAGAACGGCGCGGCCAGTCATCTTTGGTGCCTGTCAGACCATCTCCGCACCAATCAGATCCAGGACGTGCTGTGGTGCGACGCCAGAGACATGAGAGCCGAACCCAGAGACCAAGGGTGGCATCGGCCGAGAGCACCCAGAGCATCATGGGCGGCAAGCTCAGCTACGAACGCAACGCCACGAAGCTGAGCGTGGAGAAATGTCTGCGGGCCATGCCAACATCACAACGTAGTGATCTCACCGCCAAGGAGAAGGGGGGCGCGAATGGTTGAATCCTTCGGCGTTCGCATCTCCCGGACTGCGACTGGATTTGCGAGTGCGACGCTCGAGGCGCGTGCCGCCGAATTTCACGGGCAATCAGGACAGAGACGAAGTGAACGGTGACGGGTTCAAGTGAGAGGATTTCTGTTTTCACGAACTATGTTAGTGCAGCATTGGGCGAGGCGACAGTTTCTCGTGCTAAGTGAGTGCTAGTCCCATCGCCTCTGCCGAAGGAGTGGCAGTGCGCGTTGAAGGTTTGCTCCGTTCCATCGTCTACCACCTGCTGACTCGTGTCACCCCTGCGCAGCTTCTGTCGGTGCCTGTAACTGTCTAGGGCGACCGTGCTGTCGCGTTTCGGGGGTGTTCTAGCTGGTTTGCACCTAGAATGCCACCGAGGCACGACGGACTCGATTGATTACCAGACTCTAGCAGGAGGTCTTCAGGCTTTTCTGGGGTCGGGAGGGTGTGACCATGGCCATGTGCACCCAAGGTCAACTTTACCGCGCCTGCCTTCCTCTCGCCTTAGTGATACGCGCTATACGTCACTTGGCACTGAAAAGGACTACCGCACATACCTCATGCTCAGTTGTCCCCGCTTGCTTCTCCTCGTCCTCGTTATCGTCATTGTCCTCGTCCTTTTCCGCTTCTTCGCCCCTCCATCGAGCATTTCCCGTCGTGTACGTGTCTTTAGGCGCTTTCTGATGCAAGTTCGAGGCGGATCCGGCCGTTGCGACGCGGGCCTTTTCGAAGGTCTGCTGTGTACGCCGTGTCTTTCGGCAGACCTTCTGGCAGACCTTGTACAAGTTTTCGGAACCAATTTTGATCCTACCCATCGTCGCTTTTGGAATGCAGCCCGGTCGCGGTGTTGCTCATGCATGGCGCGCGCAGCAATAATGGTTGTCATAGAGTGCATTTCAGGTCATTAAGTGGTTAAAAGTCAACATTTCTAGCACGTCTGGACAAAAAAAGGCTGCAGCTTTTCGTGTGTGAGCTCTGGCACTCTGTCCGCTTACGCTCATGCCTGAAACAGCTTGACATCGCAGATAGATGATGTGGCACGAGACGGACATCAGGACGCAACACGAAACCATATGAGAACATTGGGGGCGCTTGGGCCGTGAGCGTCGGCTACACATATGGGTGACTCCTCGCTGGAGGGACGTTAGGTGCGCGGGATTCGGAGGCGCCGAGGGGCCACAGCCCATGCACGCAGGCCTCTAGTTCGCGTGTCGGTTGCAACGATCAGCAAACCGCGCACCACAGGTCCCTCCTGTCCAGTTCCACTCCGTGAAAACGGGCGTTGCCAAAGAAACATAATTGCGACACATCGCCTGGAATAGTGTAATTATTCCGGCGTCCTACCTCAGCCCGATCGATATGTGATGGCCCGAAAACGCCCGGTGTACAAGGATGAGGGGGAGGAGGAGGAGGAGGAAGAGGAGGAGGAAGAGGAAGAGGAGGAGGATGAGGAGGAGGAGGAGGAGGAGGTGGAGGAGGAGGAGGAGGAGAAGGAAGACTAAAACAAATAATTCTGAGAAGAAACATAATACTAAAACTAAGCATAAGAAGAACAAGACGCATCATAATACGAAGACGAGGACTAATAATAAACATCATACGAATAATCATAAGCACATATGAATAATAAAAATACGATTGATACTAATTCCAATGAGCATAAGGATATTACTGATATTGATAATAAGAGACATTTCTGGAACATATACGTACTAAGGATGAGACAACTCATATTAATAACATAGCGACTTCAGTAAACAACATATTAAGAAAACAACGAGCGAAAATACGAATACTACGAATCATACGGATACTACGAACAACTATAGTATTAGTATGACTAATACTAGTAATACTACGAATGCTAATACTTTTATGCGTAGTAGTAATCATATCATTGATAATTTCAGCATTATTCATCATAAGAATATGAAGAAACCATACGAACAATAATCATATTATGAATATTATGAATAATTATATCAATCGTAGTAGTACTTTCAATAATGCGAATTATAGTAATCAACATGCTATTAAGACTACGTAGTAGTGCTAGTAATCATAGTACTACCTTTCCCAATACAAATAACACTACCACTCACAATGCTAGTAATAATGCCAGTACTAATTGTAATGCCTAATAATAATATTAATTACACTAATAGCAGTAAGCGTAGTAATAGTAATATTATTCGTAATACGATTTAGTACGAGCAATAATAATAATAATACTATTAATCATGATATTAAGAAGACGAGTCGTACGAAGAGGAGGAGGAGGAAAAGGAGGGGAGGGAGGGATGGATGGAGGGAGGAATGAGGAGGAGGAGGAGGAGGAGGAAAAGGAGGAGGAAAAGGAGGAGAAGGAGAAGGAGGAGAGGAGGAGGAGGAGAGAGAGGAGGAGGAGGAAAAGGAGGAGGAAAAGGAGGAGGAGAAAGGAGGAGGAGGAGGAGGATCTGCGCTCGTGCGCGCAGCCGAGGCTGGGCGTGGAGTGGGCTCCCCGTGCGCGGCCCCCCCGCGCGGCGCGTCCGCCGAAAGGCCCCGCCGACGGTGACGGCCGCGGCGGCGCCACTGGAGGCGGGGGCGCCGCAGAGCGGCCGCCGGGGGGACCGCGGACGGCACGATGCGCCCGAGCTGCCGCACGATACGCCGGCACGATCCTCCTCCTTTTCTCCTCCTCCTCCTCCTCCTCCTCCTCCTCCTCCTCGTACATACATACATACAAGGCAGAAAGACGGAACTCCATTCAGAGAACGAAGATCCGCAACCCCACAGTGAGGGTGGGAAGAAGGCACCACAACCTCTGGGCTCGTACAGGACACACCTACCGCAGGAGGGCAGGGGGCCCTGGAGCACACGAGAGGGGTGCAAGGGCAAATGGATTAGGGGCCGAAGTGCAGGTGAAGGGCTGTGAGCCCTGCTTTGTCCTTCCACGGCTTAGAAAACCGATACCCTTTGGGATAGGGAAGCTTGCAATCACGAAGCATCCTCAATTGCGCAGCCTTGTGGGTCGTACAGGGAGCCACGAGATGCGACGCACGACCAGTGGTGTACGACCCACAGCGGTTGCAGAAGAGAACAGCAGCACCGGTCGTCTCTATGCGGCCTGCCCACAGGTCGTGGGCAGGCTCGACTGGCTCCGACGGGGTGAGCACACACCGAAGAGACGACGGCAAAGGCGTGCAGTGGCCACAGCGACAGGAAAATGGGCGGGCCGTCGATCTGCCACAATCTACATACTGCCAACGATTCACGACTGTCGCACTCTGTTTTCCGCCGCGCGCTATCGCAACCCGGAGGTGATTTTTTACACCTACAGGCAGGCGCGCCGCCAAGCATCGGTCCAATAGCGATCCAGATGCTTTTGCCAACGCGTCTTACAGATGCACGGCTTCTGACCTGACCTGAAAGTGTGACGGCCAGGGACCCCAGACATTTTCTTGGGAGCCCTGGGGATCTTCTGAAGCTCACCAAAAACATCACGAGACTTTCCCTGGGGCTCCAGCAAGAGAACAAAAGCCTGGAACACGGCAAGCCAAAGCTTAGCATTGGCTTCAACACGCTCGACATCTTGGGGGCTCAGTTGATTTGTGGCAATTTCCTTTGCGAGGATCTCGGCCCAGTTATTCCCCAGGATCCTCCTATGCTCCTCCATACTCCTGTCTCTCTAATCAGAGTCTGGTTAGATTTGATATTGTGAATAGTCCATCCCTGCATGCCAGTGTTCAGATTAATCTGACGCCAGTGCCCTGCCTGCTGCCTTCTGCCGTCATGTGATCGCAGGGCTGCTGCCGCGCAATGCACAACTGCAGCACAATCTTGAAAAACATGCACTGGCTCGTCTTCAGGGTGAGTCTGAAAGTGAGTGCACCCCTGTAAGAGACCATGGTGCTATGACATGTTGGCGTTGCAGGGAACATACGACGGGAGCACACCTCGAACGGCCCTACGGAGATCACCATTAGGGGTAACCTCAGCGGCACAACAACCCCCTCTGCACAGGAGGGGGGAGGTGGGATGGACAACAAAACCATCAATAGAGACCTCGACTCCAGGGGTGTCCCTAACGAACTGGTCGATCTGACCCCCCACGGTCCAGGTATTCAAGAATTTCAGTGGTAGGGGTAGGGTAGTCAATGATAGGGACGGGGAGCCACAGGCAACTGTATAGCGGGTCCGAGGGGCCAGCATCCAATGCAGCCGTGACGAGATCCGCGTCCAGCTCGTGGCCAAGAGAGTCCCCGAAAGAGCAAACCCAAACGCGATGAAAGGCGGTGTCAGGAGCCCCACAGTGCTGGCACTTGGGAGAGACCTGATACCCCCGACGGTGGAGGAGGGTCCCCGTGCAGTAGCATCCCGTGAAGACCTGACGGAGGATCTGTTTGGCCAGGGGGGAGTGTTTACTCGAGCTCCAAGCACGCGACACAGAGTGGGTCCACAGCCCACGAGCACGAATCTCAGCAGCTCGGTCGGACTGAACGTCCTGCAACGTGGCGCTCACAGTCCTGTGGAATGCCTGCTTCTGAAGGTCCTTGCCGAAGAGGCTGCAAATCTGAGCAGGAGGGGCAAGAGTGACGTTGCATTCAAGCCCGTCCGAGGTGTGAACATGTGCGGTGTTCGCACAATTCCAATCAGCTTGCTTGCACCAGAACAACATATCCGACAGGGGGCTTTGAGTGACCTGGTGCCAGACTCCAGGTCGGGGGTGGCTATCGAATCGTTCCTTGGCCAACTGGAACGCTTCCCTGAGCTCTCGCGCCATAAGATGGTCCTTAGCCCAGAGCAAGGCATCGGTGGCAGACCACCACCCAGCACAGTATCTACGGAGCGTGGCCAGCATGAGAGATGGGATCTCTGCTGGGTGCCAGGCACCAACACAAGTCAAGGTTGGCCTCCGCACCCCAGAGCCTGACACTTTTGGCCATCTGGAGGCGCAGGGCCCGAATCTCCGTGGGCGAATGCCCCTGGATCTCTTCACCGTAGGTGAGGCTGGGATTTATCCCGCAGACGAAGATTTTCCCTTTCTTAACAGGAGGGCCCCGCAACTTCTTAATAAGGATGAGCCTACGAATGCTCTTACCCCAACGAGACTTGTTTTCGGTCCTGGTGCCCTTGGCAGCACCATTCTTGACGATGGTGAAGTCAAAGCCGAGGTTGATCACATGCACAGCTATGGTGTGCCCATAGGGGCCTAACGCGGCAGGCGCGAGCTTTGCCACCTCGTTGGAGTTGGTGGTGAACTGCAGTTTCTTTACTGCGACCGGCAGCTCCAACCTGTTAGTCATCTGGTCGAAGACGAGCCCTGCGAGACTGGCCAGCGAGTTCAAGCAGTCCGCTGCCGTCGGCATGGCCACCGACGTTGTGATTCCATCAATGTGAATAGTGAGGTCCTCACCTGCTCCAAGGTCGAGCTCGCGTGTGGATGGGATCATGTATTATCCAACTTCATAGGTTGCCGTCGACGACCCCGCCACGATGCCCCTCGTGGGGTCGATCTGGTCACTGAGAGCCGAGTCCATCAGCAGGCGACGAGGCCAGCGATAGCTGGTGACCGTGAGCCTGACCACGTGGAGGGGGAACAAGCAAGATTTGGACTCACTCCAAAGGCGGCTGTGGCCCACATGCTCATGGCACTGTTTGAGGTCAGCAAGGAGGACCCCAACGAACTTGCCTTGGTTGTGATGAAGATCATGTCGCACTGCCTGGCGCCAGGCAGCATCCGAGGTCGACCTGTGCGGAGCCATATTGAAGTAAGGGCTGGCAGCGCAGCGAGACCCCCACTTCCTGCAATCAGTGGCAAGGAACTTGGAGTGCACGCTGGTGGTGGACTGGTAGAATCCTAGAGGCCGTCGTCCTTCCAAAGGCTTCCTATGCAGGGCAACGGTGAGCTGTCGAAGGGCCTCGGGGCTGTTGCCTATAATGTTCATGCAGGTGGAGATGCCAGCCAGAACTCTGAGCTCCTCGTCCCCAAGGAGAGCGAAATGGCGCGGGTGGAACTCGTCAATGGCGATAGTGTTCGTTTTGATTTTTTTCGACAAGCTCCTGAGCTCGTCGACATCAGGCCCAGGCGGATCAACAACCTCATATTCCTGGTCCAAAATGAGCGTACATGGGGTGTGGGCGCCCCACGCATCCTTCCAGATGCTGATCTGGCGGCTGAACCTATTGAAAAAGGGCGCAGAGAGGTTGCCGTCAGCCTCCTTGACCACATCCTCCTTGACATCGCTGGCAAGTTTGGTGCCGCGGTGAGCTCTAGAGGCGCCTCCCGCGATGGCCTCTTCGCACCGCTTGCTCCATCCTTTCTTTTGCTGGGTTCTTTCCGTTGCGAGGCCGTGGGCTTCCAGCTCCATCAGCTGGTCGACAGCCCGGCTCGTGTGGCTGAAATCCCATTCCCCCGCGCCCCGGTTGCGATGTCTACTCCAGAGGGGGCGAGCGCGTGCTGGGCAAACGCATGCGCAGAGGTTCGGCTCCGCGGCCAGAACCTGGCAAAAGGCCCGCCCCTCCTCTTGATGGCTCTGGTGTGCTGGAGGAGCTGGCAAGTTCCTCTCGAGAGTCGCTCTTCCGAGTTGGTCAGAAGCGACCGAAGCCCGATTAATCGACGCGCCAATCATCCAACGCATCTGGCTTTCGAGGGGCGAGGGTTGTCTTTCGTGACCAGAAGCGACTTGAGGTTGACTTGCCCAACCAAATGTGGGAGGCCTCTTTGTCTGCCCTAGGTATGGGGGGGGGGGGTTGCGGAGGGCTTTTTTGAGTTCCCTCTTGCCCGAGAACGCCATTCGGAGTAAACTTGGTTCAAGGTTCCTTCGATCTCACTCCGCTCCTGAGGTGCTGGGGTCTTAAAGAGGGAGCCCAGGGAGAAGGGGGCAGCAGCAGTAATTTGAGCAAGGAGGTCCTGGTGGAGTGGGGGAGGTAGAGCTGGTCCAACTGGAAGCTGGACTGGTATCACTTCATACTTGGCTAAACGCTCTACCTGCAGAAAGAAAGTCTCCGCCGTGAGTTGCAGACTGCCTCGAGCGGAAAGACATCGCTCGACACATCTGCCTTGGCGGAGAGGAGCGCTTTGACGAGGGTCTTACTGATCACGGAAAAGTCAATCGTACGATGGGAATCGTCCAGAGTGCAAGTGTGGACACGCGGGTCGAAGATGGCCTCTCCTCCAAAGCGATCAGGCTCACAGCCGATGCCAATCTCTCCCGTCCTGGGGCCACGATCCCTCGCCCTGACTCTTGCCACAAGTCAAGACAACTCCTATGCGAACTCGCTGCGCACCCCGAGGGGTGCCCCCTTGGCGGTGCTCGTGGCGGGATTCCACAAGCTTCCCGAGCCAAGCTTCTGGGCGGACCGGCGAGCGCTCCCAGTCTTATGCCGGGGCAGCCTGTGCTCCAGGACGAGGGCAACATGGGCGCGCGATTCTTTGACGTGGTCGAGAGCCCTGGACCATCCCGAGGCATTGTCCGTACAGGAATGAAAAGAGGGACCGCCAGAGACAGGGTGGGGAGGGTCGGGGGGCCGACGGAAAGGGGGAGTCTTCTGGCTGGTCTTAGAACTTACATGTCGATTGAAATCGTCACCCATCCTCCGATTTCTTGCCTGGAGGTGCACCTGAAGTCCCCGAGGCGCCAGCTGGCACCCCAGAAGCCTTTTCCCTGGCGGCTGGCCACGAGGCCGATGCCGCTGCAGGGGGAGGGCGACCACTAGGACTGCGAGATCCTGAGTTAGGGCGCAGCGGCTCCGAAGCTCCTTCATCAGCGCGTCCACCTCGATCTGCTCCTCCACCGGCGGCAGCGCGTGGCCCAGCGGCAGCAGGAGGCGCTTCTGGTTCTTCACGACGACCCCCTGCAGGATGTAGTGGTAGTGCTGCTCCAAAGAGTGGCTCCAATACCTGCAGGGCGTTCTTGAGCTCAGCTTCGTTGCGGCCCCCGACGGACGCGGCGCGCGTGGAGACTGCGGTCTTGAGCTCCTCCGCCGTGAGCTCGAAAATCTGATCGCGCGATGGCTTGGGAGAGCCGCTGCGCAGTCTCTCCCCTGCACTGGCAGCCGCCGCAGCTGCCTTGTGCGCTACCATCTCGTTGTTGCACTCGGTGAGCTTGCGCTGGGCCTCGGCCAAGCTCTGTCTGGCTGCGTCCAATTCGCGTTCTTGCTCGCGGAGGTGGGCAGCAGCATTTCGAATTTTGACCTCGAGCAGGCCGACCTTCTTGGTGTGACTCTCGACCTGCTTCTCGAACTTGGACATCTTGTCACTGGTGACCAGGAGCCTTTGACTGGCTGGCTTAGAACTGTCTCGTTCGCCGCGTAGGGCCTGAAACTTGCGCTGGAGGGCCTGTGCTGCTTCATCATCAGCGCCGTCGTCACCTTTAGCCAGGGTGTCGTAGGCATGCTGGAGTACTTGGATCTGCTGGCCAATGTTCCCAGTGCCTGGCTTTTTAGCCCTGTCCTTGTCCACGTCCATGGATCCTCGGTCTGGATTGCCGAAGTTAGAGGGGGACCGGGCAGCAGCGTCTGACTGAGGAGGAGCATCACGGCCAGGAGAAGCCCCACGTACATCACCTTGCCTTTTGCGCCCACCTTTTCTGCCCTTGCTCTTGGATCCTTTCTTGCCACCACCTTTGTCCTTGCCATTTCCGCGTCCGTTCCCACGGGGACTGCCGCCGCCGCTCGGTTCCGTCCACCCCGTAGCTGTCTTAGTCCAGTGAGAGCCACAGCGCGAGCACCAGTGAAGGTTGCGGCTGGTCGTGGCGCAGCGCCCACTGCATTCCCAAGAGAAATCTCGTGGGACACCTTTGGCGCCCTGTTTTTCCATGGCGAGGAGTAAAGGGGCAAACTGAATGTCGACACGAAGTACGGTCTCGTGTATGTGGGGTGTCTCTCGTGCTAGCACCCAAGCCAGCCGAGGGAGGAAAGATAAGAAGGAAATCCCCTGGCTGGGCAGCCGTCTGTGGGGCCCCGAAGGCTTTGGTCACTGACAACCACCTTGAGAAATGGTTCAGTTGAGCCAACATGGCATGAGCCAAAATGGCTACGGACCTCCTCCTCGTCCTCCTGTTCCTCCTCCGCTTCCGCCACCTCCTCCTCCTCCTCCTCTTCCTCCTTGTCCTCCTCCTCCTCCTCCTCCTCCTCTTCCGCCTCTTCCTCCTCCTCCTCCTCCTCCTCCACCTCCTCCTCCTCTTCCTTCTGCTCCTCCTCCTCCTCCTCCTCTCCTCTTCCGCCTCTTCCTCCTCCTCCTTCACCTCCTCCTCCTTCTCCTCCTTCTCCTTCTGCTCCTCGTCGTCCTCGTCCTCCTCCTCTCCTCTTCCTCCTCCTCCTCCTCCTCCTCCTCTCCTCCAACTTCCCCTCCCCGCCCCCCCCCCCCCCTTTCCCTCGTCCTCCCTTCCCCCCTCCTCCTCCTCCTCCTCTCCTCCCTCCTCCTCCTCCTCCTCCTCCTCCTCCTCCTCCTCCTCCCTCTCCTCCTCCTCCTTTCCCTCCTTCTCCTCCTCCCCCTCCTCTTCGTCCTCCTCCTCGTCCTCCTTCTCCTGCTCCTACTGTTGGAACTTTTCAAGACAGGGAGAGGGCACTGATGAAGAAGATGGGGTAGACAGAAGGAATGGGCGAGAGTTTGACTGCCTTTGCAAGTATGATCCCGCGGGAAGCGAGTGTCGGCAAGCTCCGTCAGAGTTCTACTCCTGAGGCAGAAATATGTGATTCATATTCGAGCCCAATCAGAAAACGAAGATCCCCACGATGGCGTGATCACATATCACGGGGGTCCTCAATCTCACACCCGCCCAACGTCGGGAGCGCTGACGCGCTTGCTCCACGCCTTTCTTGACCTTGCCCTGCTGCTCCTTTTTAGCCTTCTTCCCCAGCTTCTGCACCTTCTCGACTCGAGCATCGGGCGGGATTCTTGCTCCACGTCTTCAGCCGACCTCGCTTGATGAGCTGAGCCCTCATCGTCCAGTGCAGTTTTTCCGCGTGCTTGATACTCTCGGCGTGGGAGCGCGCGCATGCCGTGGCCGTCTTGGTACACCCGTCTGCAAGAAACATCCCAGAATTTGGGTTGTCCCTTCGTGTCTCGAAGTGCGTGCTCGAGAGAGTGTATGCTTGAGAGAGTGCGCCACTCCTTCCTGGGTCAGGACCTTCACTTCACGACTTCAGCAGCGGCACTTCTCGCGGCCCTCCTCCTCTTTCAGAGCCGCTCCCGCCTACAGTGCCCTTTCCTGGTCCTGGTCCACCCGCCACTCGCTTCTAGGCTGCCAGGGCTCGCGCCTCCTCCTCCGCCTCCGGCGTCACCTCCTCCTCCTCCTCCTCTTTCTCCCTCTCCTCCTCCTCCTCCTCCTCCTCCTCCTCCTCCTCCTCCCGAGCGAAGTGAACTCCACCCTCCCCCTCAGAAATCGTGGGGGGCAGGGGCAGGGTTCGCATGTTGCTCCCTATCCTGAAGCTTCGCCAGCTGCCGGGGGGCGCAGCTGTGCACGGTGAGCCCCATCCCAGCTTGCCTTCCGGGCCTGGCCGGGCGGGCGAAGAGCACCGCTTGGTAGCAGCCTTCATGGGTTGCCTAACCCGAAGGGGTCCTGCAAGTCAGGGAGGGGGTCGCCCGTCTCCGTGGGGGTGATGCTGCGAACAGAAAGTTGTCCTCGCGAGTCTGATCCTGGTTGTAGACCCGCAGCACCTCCTCGACTCTCCACTCGAGCTCCGCCCACCACCTTGTGTTGAGCTCCTCCCAAGCGTCCTGCACGTACCGGCTCGTGTGCTTCCGCGGCTCCTCCTGATGCAGTCGAATGAATGTGTCCAGGGCCTCTGTCCGTTCGTCCGAGTGCTCCTGCCCATACACCGAACTTGCCACCCAGATGCCGTTGCGGGCCTGCTTGGCCCATTTGAGCACTTCGGTCGGCAGCTTGGGTCTCGTCTCGATCTTCAGCTCCCCGGGCGGGCCGTAGTCGTCGAACAACTCTGGGCACCTGGCCCAGTCCGCTACGTCCAGGGACCAGCTCGCCATGGTGTTCACCGACACTTGCCGCCCCGAGAGCCGGTGTCAAACCCGTGCGCGATTCGGTACTTCACGAGGGTGGGCCATTTGTGGTGCTAATAGAGGGCGGCCGAGTGCTCGGCCATGCGAGGCAGCGCCTTCACGAGGGGGCGCCCCACGCCGCCGGGGCACATCGCTGCCCTGCAGCGCCCGCAGCCCGAGCCGCCAACGCCTTCAGCTCGTCCTCCTTGGTGATCGACTGGGGGGTGTCGGCTCGCCCTGCCTCCTCCTCCTCCTCCTCGCGCTTCTTCCGAACGTCCGGGCAGTGCGCGGCGTCGGCCAGCAAGCTGGTGGCGGCG